AGAGAGAGAGAGAGAGAGAGAGAGAGAGAGAGAGAGAGAGAGAGAGATTTGACATTTAGGCCTAGCTTTTCCGGAACTGTTAGAGTTTACAATAAGCACACAGTAGGTCCCTTGTTTAATGTCACAGAGGAATAACAGAGGAATCAAGGCTTGGATCCAAGAACTTGTCTGACAGTCTGCTTATGTAATCCGAGCATAGCATAGAGTTGCTTGTTGCAAACAGGTAGTATTTTAACAAATTCCCCACCTGAATCTCCATACTCATTCTGTTTTCTCCCCAGGACAAAGTCAGGGGTGAGATGGATGTACTCAGCCTTCTCTCCACATTTCGTGAACTGCCGGGTGTAGGGCTCATCGTTGCCCGGCAGAGCAGGAGGCGCGACTTTAACATCTGCCTGAGGATGTTTAAAAAGATCATTAAATCTCAGGGTCGTTTTGGTTTGCATTTCCCTGATGGCTAATGACGTTGAGCATTTCTTTAAGTGTTTCTCTACTATTCGATATTCCTCTATCGAGAATTCTCTGTTTAGCTCTGTTCCCCATTTTTTAATTGGAACTTGATTTGCTGCTTTTCAACTTCTTTAGTTCTTTATATACACTGGATATTAGCCCTCGGTCACATAGAGGGTTGGTGAAGATTTTTTTCCCAATCTGTAGGCATTCGTTTTGTTTTGATGACGGTGTCCTTCGCTTTACAGAAACTTTTCAGTTTCATGAGGTCCCATTTATTGATTGTTGCTCATCAGAAGAAGAAAACAGGAAACAAGTTAGGAGCCTCCCACAGAGGGCCTCTGAAAGGCTCTGCCCTGCAGACTGTCAAAGCAGATGCTGAGACTTATGGCCAAACTTTGGGCAGAGTGCAAGGAATCTTATGAAAGAAGTGGGAAATAGTAAGATCTGGAGAGGACAGGAGGTCCACAAGGAGAGCAACAGAACCAAAAAATTTGAACACAGGGGTCTTTCCTGAGACTCATACTCCAACCAAGTACCATGCAGGGAGATAACCTAGAACCCCTGTGCAGATGTAGCCCATGGCAGTTCAGTGTCCAAGTGGGTTCCATAGTAATGGGAACAGGGACTGTCTCTGACATGAACTGATTGGCCTGCTCTATGATCACCTCCCCCTGAGGGGGGAGCAGCCTTACCAGGCCACAGAGGAAGACAATGCAGCCACTCCTGATGAGACCTAACAGACTAGGATCAGAAGGAAGAAAAAGAAACCCTCCCTACCAGTGGACTTGGGGAGGGGCATGCGTGGAGAAAGGGGAGGAAGGGAGGGATTGGGAGGGGAGGAAGGAGGGAACTAGAGGGGGGATACAAAGTAAATAAAGTGTAATTAAAAATAAAATAAATGAAAAAAAATCATTAAAGTTTGAAGAACAGAAACGACAACAGTTAGAAAAGCTCCGAATCAATCAATCTGTGGTAAAACTAGCAAGCGCTGGAAACCATTCTCTCTCTCTCACTCTCACTCGCTCTGTTGTGAGAGAAAAGATCGATACTTACGTGTTTGTAGCTCTCTTGTTTTGGCTTCCTGTACTGTGGTCTGTTTTCCCAGCTCTCAGGAATTAATATAGATACATTTTTGAAGAAAAATCTTTTTTCTGTAGCTTCAAACAGGTATGTAGAGGCTGTAGTCACCATTTCCTGTCGTCAAAGGGAAAAAGAATAATGCAAAAATGGCCATGAAGTGCTGTCGTGTCTCAGGCAGCTCCCCTTAAGTTGTCACCACAAACAGAACCATTCATCAAGACTATTCCTCAGTGGTCTTTGCCCACACTTCTAACCTGACCTCCGTCAATCCAAAACGTGCTTCACTCTGCACCTGGAGAGGTCTATCATCTTACCTCAAAAGACTGGTCATACTTGGTGACTATGGTAATTGACTTATATGACTGTATATTTGAACTTTAGAATCATGTATTTGTTTCTAATAACTATTAACACTTTTTGGTTGACTTATGGACTATCGGAAGCCCAGTTACCTCACCATTTAATGGACATAAAGCTGGAGTGAACTAGGAAGTATTCTAAGACTGACATCAGCCCTGGTTTCAAGAAATGAGTCAAAACAGCGTTAGCAGATGCAAGCTAAGGAGAGGAGCCCACAGGAGCCAGTGTCCAGATGGGGCTTTCTTCCCATCCTCCTGGAAGAGGTGGGAAGTTTCGTGGGTAGTGCAATGAAAAAATCCATAGCAGGTAAAAATTTGACCACAGAACCATTGTTCTGCTGTCAGCGTGAAAATACCCATTTTTTCCAGTATCTTGAATCCAAAGTTACTGTGATTTATAAGAGAATTTATCACTCTACAGAGTTACTGTCTAATAATTGGAAACAATGGGTGAAAAGCACTTAAGGCAACCTGTTCCTTACATCCAGGTCTCTCAGAGGTAAGTAATATATGTTACATTATATGTCATATAATATATTCTATATATGACATATTAGATATCAGCGGTAATATGTAATGTATTTATAGCATATTTTATGAATAAATATAAAAGAAAAGAAGCAAACGAAGAAAGCACTTTTATTTCACAGGTGCTATCTGACTAGCTGTGTCTATCAGGGCAGACCCCTCTGGTTCTATAACATAAGTCATGTGTTCTGACTCACATGTATTTCAAAGAGTCAGCAAACTGATTAGTGAGTAGTCATGAGATTTGTCAGAATGTCAGAGTCCAGAGAAACGAAGATCCAGTGCAGGAAGGCTTTGAAGAAGTCTAAAGCAGGTTGGAAGTTGCTCAGCACACACGGGAGGAGGATAAAGGAATTCTCTTTTTACCTGGATACCCTTGTTTTTTCCAAAATGAGAGATATTTGGCTGTCATGTTCTTCAGGAAGAGAGGGCTCTCTGTACATACTTGATAACAATGAATGTTTTGGTGGTTCAAGTTGAGATTGCTGTGTACAGCTGTGTAGGTTGTGTATTGTGTAACTCCAAGGGACTGCATTTCCTTGAGAGTCTCCATGGCCCAACCATCTGTCTTCAATAGCAGTGGTTCTTAGGCCATGGAGAGATGTCAGAGATCCTGCAGGTAACTATCATCTCCAGGGATACTCCAGGTGTCTAATATTAGTTCCTCAAAGTTTTCTAAGCAGAAGTCCTATAGTATTCTTTATAAGTTTCTCCCCAGAATTCCTATAAAGTTTTAGATTTAAAAAAAAAAAGGGAAATTGAGAACTTCTCTATCAGTGGACTAGGGAAAAGGGAGAGGAGAGGAAGAGGGAGGGAGGATGGGACTGGGAGGAGACTACAGAGGGGGCTACAACTGGAATACAAAGTGAATAAATTGTAAAAAAAAATAATAAAAAATTAAAAAGTGAAATTTGCAAAAGTGGTCAAGTTTCAAACATAGAAGAAACATGAATACAGACGACAAAGAATACTTGAAAATGGAGAATATCAGGCCAGAATTATGACAGTTTTGCATAATCATTGTGTGTAAAGTAGATGATAGCAGGTCACAAAAGTGACTGATGATATAGGGCTTTGTAAAAGATTAAGTGTCAAAAAAAATCCCACTAAACTTCAGACATGATGGCAAAGGATGAATTCTGCTTGTGATGTTCAGTAGAAGACCATGCTGAGAAATCTTTTTTGACTGCAATGCTAATCTTTGCTGTAATGTCATTCTTTACATGGAATGTTGGAGTTGGAAGAAACTAGCAAACTGAAGTCCTAGGTTTAGTGACTGGGCCTTTTCCTCTGTTTGCAAGCATCTGGTGGACTCATCCACACTGATCGACTCTGATTTTTTATCTAGGTACACATTTTACACTTCACTCTGGATTCAGGTTTCTGTCTCTTCTCCCTGGAAACTACAATGAGCTAACACTCCTCCTGCCCAGGTCCAGCTCTTTCTTACTTACAGTTCCCTTCCCAGCTGATGAAAGTTCTACCCAAGCATTTAAGCCGAAGTTGTGAAGTTTGCCTTGCCTCTTAACATTTCCTCCCTACCTGCATTTTCCCACACACATTTAAATCAACAAAAATGTGGTGTCCGATACTTTCAAAATATATTCAGAATCACTTTAATGATTTGAATCACTACTGCCACCTCCTTGTCCTAATGTTTGTTAACTACAGACTGGGTCTTCCTGCACCATATGCTACATTCATACAGTGGATGTGCTAATTGCAAGCCTTCTATAGTGTTAGGTGGTCAGAGTGGTCCTAGACTAGAGACCAAAGTGTGCATAACCTCTGCTAAGATGTCTTTCATGGAGTCTCCTATCACTCAGAAGGAGAGTAAAAGTGACCCATCCAGTGGTCTGAGCTCTGCCACAGCGTGTGACCTCCTAGCTCCAGTTTAAGTCGCCTTCCTCTGGCTTGTTCCCTGATCCCTTGATTACATGAGCGGCTATCACCCCCACGAGGCTCTTGTCATCTTGGTGTCCGCTCAGATGTCACATCATGAGTGAGGCTTTCTCTGAGGGCTTCCGTGCAGGAGACAGTGACTTGCTGCTGCCCAGTACAGCCATCCTCTGCCATCTCCCTTTCCTGACTCAGCGTGTTCCACAGCTACCCACTAACATCGCATCTGCTACACTTTGACATTGGCGATGACTCTGAAAAAGCACACATTCCCTAAAAATTCTTTTTCAGTTACTACTCTTTCCTTAAGGGTACCACAAGAGCATGTGGATGCACTCACAATAAATAAAGAAATTACCCAAACAGAACAAGTCCAACTTCCAAATCACAGACAAGGAACCTGAAGACCAGAGAGGCCCTCTGCTTTGCTTTTGACCTTAAGGTTAGAAGGTACCATACCTTCTAGAACCTCTAGAACTGCCAGCTAGCATGTTTTAGAGCTTTCATCTCCCTCCGTGCATTTTAGAATTGTCCACTCTGTTTTTAAACTTCCCAAACTGTCCACTTTTATTTTCAAACATTCAGAGGTTCCCATAGTAACTCTTACTATTACTATTAACCATTTGTCTTCATAACTCAAACAGAAGAAGGTCCCACTTTTCATACCTTTATTCTTTCAATTATTATTTCATTTTCTGGCACAGCAGGATCAATGGCAATAATTACGTCTTCATAACCATTCTCACTCAGCTTCACCAAGGACGATTCTGACCCCCGGAGCAGGTACAGGAGTAGGAAGAAAACAAAGCCCCTGGAGGACCCCATCACTCCCACCTGCTCACTCAAGGCCTTTCTTTCCCTGTGTCCCTTACAAGGTCTATATATACTCCTAAAAACCACCTGCTGGCTGAATGAGAGATGCTAACTGTCTAAAGGTCAATGTTCATGTCAGGGAAAACACAAGCCAGGCTATATAATAGTTTTATTGTTTGGTAATGGTTAAAGTGATTAGAAGTATTAAGAAATACACAGCATCCTTTCTTGAGACATAATATATTGCTTCCCATTTTTGATTAATTTCCTAAATATACACATAGGCTTTGTGCTTCTTATAGAATAGGGTCAGAAAATAAAGCAATAAGAAAGTGAGCAGGAGGGCTAAAGCTCTCCCTGCACTTTAAAGGGTGACTTAATCATTATCCATACTATCATCTAAATAATAATGGCACAAATAAAAAGCTAGGTAAAATGAGCTTGAAACTCAAGACTGTAATGAGATTGATACATTTAAGAAGATTTTATAAAGTCAAGTTATTAGAGTAAAAAACCATTCCTAGTTAAAAAAAAAAAAGGACTAAAAATTGTTTTTCTGCATCATCTTTTGCTACTGGTCACTGTTGAGGAAGAATAAACTACAAACTTTTAATTAATTACATTTTTTCTTTGAAATTTTCACGCATGTTCATAATATATTCCATTTACTCTCGCTGTGTCTTCATTTCTCTCTCCCCCATCCCTGTCAACCCTTCACCCCATCTCCCCACAGGTGTCTTTGCCACAGGCGTGGTTTTTGTTGCTTTGGGACTTGCTAACTTTAGTCAGGGCCATCTACGGCTCGGAAATGAAGGCTGGTGAGCTCATCTGTGGAATACAGCCGAGGACAACAGTTGCCCCTCCCCGAGAGTGCAGCACTGGGGCTAGCACTGTAGCTAGGCAAGGAAGTTCAGGGCTACTTGAACTCCTCCCTGGTTGGCAGGACTAGTCTTGTATGGCACCATGCAGGCAGCTACGCATGCTATTAGATCGTGATTGCAATGGCTGTGTTATACTCTGAAGGTATTATTTCTTAACTAGTTTCCCTATCTTCCCACTGTTTCATTCCTTTTGTTCCCTCTTGTGATGTTCCTTGACCCTTTGTGGGGACAGTATAAATCTTATTTGCATGTGACTCCTCAACCACCGTGTATTGTCAGTACATTAAGGAGCCGTGAGTCCTGCATTCTTTCCATTCACTGCAAACGGGGGCTTCTCTGACTAATGCTCAGAGCAGCCTTTGTCCATAGGCGTGCATGGATAGTTAGAAGGCAGCTTGATGCTATGCCAATTTAGATAAACAGCTTATCTTTACTTTGTTAAAAATTTTCTTTTCTGCTCATTTGTATCTCAGACCTTTTATTGGGTCAATAATAATTTTCTTTGAAGAAACCATAAAAGAAACGGATTTGTACTTTCCCATGTCTATTTTATCTTAAAATCTCCTTATGCCTTCCTCATAGAAAAAAAAATATGCCAGGAACATAACGTAAGAGTTAAGTTTAACCCATAAGCCCGACTTGTTCAGGACAGATAACTTCCTGGAATGCTGTTGTTCGTGTAAGATAACAAGGCATGTATTTTCACTTCAGTAAGCAAGGTTGGTCACCCCAACTGTACAGGAAATGCTTGATCTCATGAAGGTGGGAGGCAGACAGGCAAGAAGATATCAGGATGTATGTGCACCCCAACTAGACAACAGTAGCAAGTGCCAGAGCTTTGTGGTTCTGACCTTATGAGCACCTGACTAACATAATTCAGTACCATTCTCTTGGAATCCTGGGTAGGGATCTGGGCAGTGCCCATCTTCATAGCTAGTATCAAATAAAGCTTGCTTTAATTGGACAATGATGGATTTGGTCTGTCTCCTTGCAGTTTTCAGGTTTAACAATACAATGGGGTATAAGTCTTAAAAAAATTTTTTTTTAACATTCCATTTTAGGTTCTTCATTGGTACTTCAGGTGAGCAATGTCAAGTTCTTTATATTTATTTTTTCATAAAATTTACTTCATACAGTATATTTGGTCATATTCTTCTCCCTCCCCCAATTTCTCCCAGATTCTCCTCACTTCCTCCTCCACCAACTTTATGTTCTCTCTCTTTCTCTCACTCTCTCAAAACATGAAAATCAAAACAAACTTGGTCAACACCCAGAACAGATAGTAAGGGTGTATGCCTGTGTGCATGTATGTGTGGATGTGTGTGTTTGTCTGTTTGTTACAGTTTGGTATTTTTGTTAACTTGGAATTCTTGAGGGATACACAGAATTGCTGATTGCCATGTTTGTGTAGGGAATGTCCCTTGTGGACTTTTAAAGCTAAAAGGTTAGTTACATCTTAAAGAAAGTAACAACTCTTTGGTTGTTTCCAGATTCTGGTGATTACAAATAAAGCTGCTATGAACATAGCTGAGCAAATGTCCTACTCAAAAATTAAAAACAAGGAAATAATGAAATTTGCAGGCAAATGGTGGGAACTAGAAAAGATCATCCTGAGTGAAGTAACCCAGAAGCAGAAAGACACATATGATATATATTCACTTATAAGTGGATATTAGCTATATAATATAGTATGAACATTGGTATGTTCTATAGTATGTATGTATGTATGTATCTATAGTCCTATATATATATTAGTATGTATATATAGTCCTAAAGAAGCTAAACAACAAGAGAAGATGCTAATTCTAGGGAAGATGCTTAATCTTTATTCAGAAGGGCAAACAAGATAGACATTGGAAGTAGGAGAAGACAAGGAACAGGACAGGAGCCTTCCACAGAGGACTTCTGAAAGAATACACCCAGCATGGTATTGAAGGAGATATTGAGACTCATAGTCAAACTTTGGGCAGAGTGCTGGAATCCTTATGGAACAAGAGGGGGATAGAAAGACCTAGAAGGGCCAGGAACTCCACAAGGAGAACAAAAAAGCCAAAAAACCCAGGCCCAAGGGGGCTGGCAGAGACTGATACTTCAACTAAGGACCATGCATGAAGAGGACCTAGACCCCCTGTTCAAAGGAAGCCAGTTGGCTACTTAGTTTCCAAATGGAATCCCTAGTAAAGGGTACATGGGCTGTCTCTGACATGAACTCAGTGGCCAGCTCTTTGATCACCTCCCCCTGGGGGGATGCAGCCTTGCCAGGCCACAGAGGAAAGATGATGCAGCCAGCCTTGATTAGACCTGATAAGATAGGGTCAGATTCCTCCCCTATCAGTGGACTAGGGAAAGATCATAGGGAGAGAAGGAGGTGGGTGGGTGGGACTGGGAAGAGACGAGGAAAGGGGCTGCAGAGGGGATACAAAGTGAATAAACTATAATAAATAAATACATAAATAAAATTAAATTTAAAGATTAAAAAATACAAAAATAAAAAAGGTAACAGCTTATTGGTTAGTGGTTCAGTCTCTGTGAGCTCCCATGGACCCAGGTTAGTTTACTCTGTAGGTCTTCCTGTGGTGTCTTCAATCCCTCTGGCTCTCTCAGTCCTTCTCCCCTCTCTTTTACAAGACACCTCGAGCTATGCCTATTGTTTGGCTGAGCATCTCTGCATCTGTGTTCGTTAGCTGCTGGATGAAGCTTCTCAGAAGAAAGTTATGCTAGGCTCCTGTCTGCAAGTATAGCAGACTATCATTAACAGTGTCAGGGGTTGGCTCTCTCTTACGAGCTGGGTCTCAGGTTGGACAGTCATTAGACTGGGTTGGACCAGGCCCCCTACACATGTATAGCAGTTGAGCTGCTTGTTCTTCATGTGGGTCAATTAAATGTTCTTCAGTTAGAGAGGGGGCTGGTTCTGACTCTGTTGTTTGTCTTTCGATTCCTTTCACTTAGTTGCCTTGTCTGGCCTGAGTAGGAGAGGATGCTCCTCATCCTGCTGTGACTTTATGTACCAGGGTGGGTTGGTGTGCATATGTGCCCTCTCCTTCTCTGAGGATAATGGGATGGGGGAATGGGGAGAGGGTGTAAGGGTGAGGCTGGGGAGGAGGATGGGGGACTTTGATCAGGTTGTAAAGTGAATGAATGAATGAATAAATAAAGAAGTAAAGAGTAACAGCAATTTCTTTTATGTTAGTGTGTGAACAGAAATTTTGAATTATAGGTTAGGTCTCTTGGTTTTATTTTTATTTCCTGGAAGACATTTTTTTTAAATTTTTTATTTAACTTTTATTAATTACACTTTATTCATTTTGTATCCCCCTATAAGCCCCTCACTCCTCCCCTCCCGGTCCCACCCCCCCCCCTTTCTGCATGCATGCCCCTCCCCAAGTCCACTGATAGGGGAGGTTCTCCTCTCCTTTCTGATCTTAGTCTATCAGTTCTCATCAGAAATGGCTGCATTGTCAGGGTTCTAGGTTATCTCCATGGGTATTCCTTGGTTGGAATAAGAGTCTCTGGGAAGTTCCCTGTGTTCAAATTTTCTTGTTCTGTTGCTCTCCTTGTGGAGTTCCTGTCCTCTCCAGCTCTTACTATTTCCCAATTCTTACATAAAATTCCATTCACTCTGCTCATCAGTTGGCCATCAGGCTCAGCATCTGCTTTGACAGTCTGCACGGCAGAGGCTTTCAGAGGCCCTCTGTGGCAGGTTCCGAGGTTGTTTCCTGTTTTCTTTTTCTTCTGATGTCCATCCTCTTTGCCTTTCAGGATGGGGATTGAACATTTTTAGTTAGGGTCCACTCTTTTGCTTAGTTTGTTTAGATGTACAGATTTTAGTGGGTTTATTCTATGTTGTATGTTTATAGGAGTGAGTATATACCATGTGTGTCTTTTTGCTTCTGGGACAACTCACTCAGGATGATCCTTTCCAGGTCCCACCATTTACCTGCAAATTTCATGATTTCCTTATTTTTCATTGCTGAGTAATACTCCATTGTATAGATGTATCACAGTTTCTGCATCCATTCTTCAGTTGAGGGGCATCTGGGCTGTTTCCAGCTTCTGGCTATTACAAATAAAGCTGCTACAAACATGGTTGAGCAAATGTCCTTTTTGTGTATTTGAGCCTCTTTTGGGTATATGCCTAGGAGTGGTATGGCTGG